GAATTTTTTCAACTAAATTTTTTTAACAATATTTTTTGGATTTAGCGCTTCTTCCACTTTTTTTCCAATAAATTTTGTAGATCTTTACATCTGATTCCCACTTTAACTTCGGCCTATATCTGGCCACATTTGTATTATTACTGTTAGTATTATTGTCCAGAGTAAACTATGTTCCTACAGTAGATTATTCTAGGACAAAAAAATATAAAAATTTCCGAAAAATCTAATGCACAGCATTTTGGGTCGTTCAACAGTCATCCTCTTTATATACGTATCCCCTAGATGATATTGGCCCACAACGTACTACACTCCTTCCTCTTCCAAGACGAAGACTTGCAGGATCAGGGCGCCAGGCTTCATCTATGATTGAATGTCCTGAGGCTTTTCGGTTATCCTCCCGTCCTGTATCTCCTTCTCCTCTCCTTTCTGTCTCTAGTCTCTCTTTGATCGACGCTGATCAACCAGACACCAAACTCCATCAATTGAAACACTCTTCAACAGTCGCAAGCCCAACATTTTCCTTCCAGCTCGAGGCAGGATGTATCCTATCTAAATCAGAAGTAGAAACTGTCCAACGGGCGCTAGAGTATGTTTATTATCTTCGTTTATCATTTATCTGCCTACACAGTGGAAGATGAAATATTTATGTCCAATTAATATTCCATTAAATCCTATTTTACTTAATCTTTATTATTACATTTCATCAATGGTTAATAGATTGAGTTATTATAGATGAATCTTTTTGCATTATTTCATGGCGGGACTTTTTTTGATTATTTATTATTGTGGCATGGTTGAAGTTATTTCGCAAATACATTTAAGTCTAAATTAGTCCCAAGAGTCTTATCACGTGTGTGCAGGTTGCAAGTCAATCATCAGAGGGCAACCTTTCTCCGCATCTTATTTTTTGACCAATATAATACTTAGCTATTAAATGGAAATGAAGAATCTGTAGAGCCTGATTCATATACCTACTTCGAAATTTACCTTTAAACAACAATATCATTGACTCGAAGGTATGAATATCAAGGTATTTGTATGGTCGCAGTCTCTTTTCGTTGTATAGAATTTGTTTGATATTGTTTTCGAGCCTTAGTCATATTGGTAGGAAGACCTAGAGGAACGCATCTTGTCCGGAGTCCATTATAGGCATGATAATTTACAGAGTCAGACCATGGCCGTGGCGCGTTCCCAGACGTTTCGTCGGCATCGTCAGTGAGTTTTGCCATTCTTAGCACCACACTTTAACTCGTCAAGGTGACAAGTATGGCCGATTCTATGACAAATTGTCTGCTAAATAATCGTTGTATCTCTCCTTCCGACCTGGGCTAATCACTGATACTATATCCCCGTATCACGTATTCACTATCACAATTTTTATTTGCCTATTTAAATGTGGTGTGTCCTTTTAAGCGGCTTTCATGAGAACTCTCCATATCTCATGCTGGCTTTCTCACCCCTTCACCCTTTAGCTGGGAATATTTATCAGAGTCTGTCCCATTGTTACGCAGTCGTCTTTATATCTTTTATCAGAGTATCCCTCTTGTCCCGTAGGAAGCGTCTCCTATTTCCTTAGTTCTACTATCTCACTCGACCCCTGCCACTTTATCTATCATACTCGAGGCGTTATTTTCCACAATTTGCCTCTGGGAGACTGACTTGAGGTTAAAGAGCCAGAGTAATTCTCATGGTCAAACCTTTGCTTCATGGACCACGTTTTTGATCAAACACGTCTACGGTTAGCCAACTAGCTCTAGTCTCCACTGCGTCTATCCTGTTTCTATCCCTAATCCCAAATCTATGATTTCATATGCTATAGGCTCTTGGGTGCCAACCCACAAATGTTATGGTTCTTTTTTTATTAGGTTGAATGTATAATCACAACATTTGTGGGTTGGCACACAAGAGACTAGGGCTTAGGAAGTAATAGACTCGGTATTAGTGATATAAACAGGATAGACGCTGTGGTGAGTAGAGCTATTTGGCTAACAGTAGATTTGTTTGATCATAGACGTGGTCCGTGATGCAAAGGTTTGACCATAAGAATTACTCGGGCTCTTTAGTCTCAAGTCATTCTCCCAGAGGCATTGTGGAAAATAACGCCTTGAGTATCATAGATAGGGTAGCAGGGCTCGAGTGAGATACTTGAACTAAGGAAATAGAAGACGGATCCTATGGGGCAAGAGGGAGACTGATAAGACTTATATAAAGAGGACTGCGTTACAATAGGGCAGACTGATCAACATTCCTAGCACGAGGCTGAGGGGAGTGAGAAAGCCAATGTGGGGTGTGAAGAGTTCTCATGAAATATGTTCAACAGGGCACACATTTAAATAGGAAATTAAAAAATTGTGATAGTAAAGGGGTGATACGTGGTTTGGTGATTGACTTAGGGCGGAAGGAGAGATACCACGATTGTTTAGCAGACAATTGGTAAAATGATCGTTTTCACTTGTTTCCTTGACGAGTTGAAATGTGGTGCTAAGAGTGGCAATGTTCACTGACGATCCTGGCGAAACGTCCGGAAATGTGCCACGTTCATGGTCTGACTCTGGAAATTAGCATGCCTACTATGAACTTCCGACTAGGTGCGTTCATCTAGGTCTTCCTACCAATATGACCAAGGTCTGATAACAAGATGAAAACAAATTCTATACAACGA